GGGGGTGGGGGGGTGGGAAGCGCAGCGAAAACAAAGATGGCGGCTGCGCCGGGGTTGGTGGCCGCGGTGGCTGCGGGGCTACGCGCGGGCCGGGCCCATTGAGGCGGCTGCGCGGCAAGTGGGCTGCGGGGTCGCGGCGGCAGCAGGAGACCGGCGGGGGCGAGCGGCACCCATAACTTCCAACTAGCGAGCGCGCCAGCACCTGCCCGCCGGGCCGGCCGGCCGCGATGTCCGGCGCTGAGGAGGCTGGCGGGGGTGGCTCGGCTGCGGGACCCACGGGCGCCGTGCCGGTCGGGGTTGGGGTCGGGGCCGGGGTCGGGGCAGCTGCAGGGCCAGCGGCAGCGGCGGCGTTGGGCGAGGCAGCGGGGCCCGGGCTCCCGGACGAGGCGGGCCTGGCCGGCGCCCGGCAGCTGCAAGAGGCGGCTGGCGACCCCGACGCACCGCCCAAGAAGCGGCTGCGGGCGGCCGAGGCGGCCGAGGCGGCGGCGGCGGCGGCGGCAGCAGCGGCGGGCAGCGGGAAGCTGGAGGAGCGGCTCTATTCGGTGCTGTGCTGCACCGTGTGCCTGGACCTGCCCAAGGCCTCCGTGTACCAGGTAGGGCCGTCGGCCCGGCCCGGCGTCGCGTCTCCTCGAGGCCGGGCCCGGGGCCGGCGGCCAGGGCCCCTCCGGCCTCACGTCGCCTTCCGCGCCCGGGGGACCCCGGCGCCCCCTCCCCTCCAGCGCCTTGTCTTCTCTTCCAGCTCCGGACCCCCATTTTCCGTGTTCCCATCCTCTTACTTGCTGGTCTCAAATTTCCTATCTTAGATCCCGCCTCTTTTCTTCCAGGTTTCTCCTTGACACCCCAGTTCCCTCCAACTGACCCCCACAGAGGGTTGGGGACAGGTACTTACGCTCCCTGCCCAGTGTCGCCCCCCCCCCCCTTCCTGGGCTTGCTAGGTGCAGAGGCCTCTTTATCCGGAGAGCTTTTCTATTCTGGCGGCCACACCCCCAACCGTGTTCCTCTGCTTCTGAACTTCAGTGTGTGCATCTTTTCTGTTTTCCTGACCCTAAAGAACAGGAAGAATGGAGGGATTGTTTTCGACCCTCCACTTATTGTCTTGCTCCTGATCTGGAGGAACTGCACACAACAGGCCCCACAGTCTATATTTTGTCTAACCCCAACCTAACCCACACTTGGCTTTCTTGGCTGCTAGTGTTATGGGAGGTCTTCATCTGAAAACCCAGCATGGTTGGACTCAGGGTCCTTGACCAGCTCAGTGCTGTCAGATAGGGTTGGTCCAGGTGGATTCAGCATTCCCTCCCAGGTAACAGAGGCAGACCTGTGGTTGACACCTAGAATCAGTGGGGAGGGTCTGTCCACCTTCCCCCATATCTCTCTCCGCCTCAGTCCCAGTTCCTTTGAGAAGCAAAGCGGGTTTACTGTCAGCTTTCTTTTTATTTTTTTTCAGTGCCAGGGATTAAGCCTCTGCTAAGCAAACACTATAGCACTGAACTGAACTATGTGCCCATCCCATTTTATTTTTATGATTTTTTTTTTTTTTTTTTTAGACAGGGTCCTGTTATTGCCCAGTGTGGTTTTGAAGCCTTTGCTAGCCTGCCTTTGGCCTCAGCTTCCTGAGTCACTGGGATTACAGACATGTGTCACTGTACCTGGTTCCTGACAACTTTCTTTGCATCTACAGGAGCTGGAAGTAGCTGGTGGACTCTTGTTTTCCTGCTTCTGTTTAGACTAGGGCCCTAGGTGAGAGGGCCACTTTTGTAGTAAGTGGTGTAGAGCTAGTCTGGGTTGTTATTTCTCCAACCTCTGGAGTTTTGGCCTGAGGTTCTGGCCTGAGGTTGCTTGGGAGGACTCGAGGATCCTGGATGGGGCATCTACCCTCCTGAGTGTGTGTTTGTGTGGAGGGGGGAAGCATTTCCTACAGATGCTAATCCCAACACGAGCATTTATTCCTTGCTTTGGGGGCCATCAGGATCTACACCTCCTCCTCACCCCTTTTCCATCGTCTGATGGAAGAGCTCTTCTTTTCCTAGGCCTGGAATGAGAGTCCACCAAACCAAGCCAGGGAAAGAGGCTCCCAGGAGAATTCAGGGGGCTCCTTGTCTTCCCTCCCATGAATGAACTGGAGCTGGACCTGACATGATGACAGGCTGCATGATACTGGCTCCTGGGCCACTGAAAGAACCATAGCTCTGCTTCTGTCCAGAGACTCTGGTGACTAGGCCTCAGCCTGGCTGGTTCAGACTGGGCCACAGTGTGCTGGGAGTGAGGTCTGGCCTGGAAAGATGGACACAGGCAGCCAAACAGCTGCAATAACATGAAAGCAGGTACCACCCTGACTAGTGCCTTCCCAGGCAGGTCTTCCTAGGAGCTTCCTTGGAGAACATCAGCTGAGCAAGGGGAGCCATGGGCACTGAGACTAAGCTGTGGGCTCTGCTGCCAGCCCCTACTCCACCTCCATTGATACCTGGAGCGAAGATATTTCCCTCTCATTTCTAGAGGCTGGAAGAAGGCTCTAGAATTTGTGGTTGTGGGAAAGCCTTTGAGTCAGTGTCAGAACATAATTTGGCTGCTCACAAACCTGCAAGGGCAGGAGAAGGAAAGAAGTACCTCTGAATACTGCCAGGGATACCTCCTGTGACAGCTTCCTGCCATGTCCCTGCCAAGACACTGGGTCAGGACAGATTTGGAGACTTGGGCTCTTGTCTGGTCTTCTCTCCATAGAATTTGGACACAGATGGTGTGGAGATGTTCCTAGGCAGGGACCATTGCTGGCTACCATCTTGGCCTGGCCTCGGCCCCTTTGTCTTTTGCTAACCTTCCCCTTACCTGTTGCTAGGGATTGAACCAAAGGTTTTGCACATGCTACGCAAATGTTCCACTATTAGCTACATCCCCAGCCCTTTTTAAATTTTATTTACTTGAGACAGGACATCTCTAAGTTGCCCAGGCTGGCCTCCAACTTTGAACTCTCAGCCTCCTGAACAGCTGGGATTATAGGAGTGTCCCATCACGCCTGGCTCTGCTAATCTTTGTTAATCCACGTTGATTGGCTGTCTCTGGTGGGTCAGTTTCCACCTCCTGCTGGCACCATTTTGCCTGACCCCAGCAGGAAACATGGTGTAGGGTGGGCACCAGCCATGCCATGTGTCCTAAATGCTAACTCAAATATCCTACACTTGGGTTAGAAGAGCCAGGAAACCGTGTTGTGCTGTGTGTGTTGTACCTGATGCTGGGCAGTGGTGACAACTCCACAGGCTTCTGTAGTTGGCTGAGTGCACAGTAACTCAAGAATGTGTCGTCTGGCTGCCAGATGCCACCTGTGCTGCCAAGGAAGCTCTGAGTAGTGGCAGGAGCAGACGTGTGCCATGCTGACTTGTCACAGGTGGGGAAACTTACAAGTGTAAAGCTCTTAAGCAGGTGGCTCTTGATGCTATGGCCTGTGTCATGTGAGGTAAAGGGCCGCAGCAGGTAACAGCAGATGAACACTTTAATGTTCTCTGTGTGGGTGTTAGGTGTGTCCTGGGCAACTGGCCTGGCAAGGTAAGCTGTCACCCTCCAGAGTCCTGGGCAGACACCAAGGTTGGTGGCAGGGGGGCTGAAAGGGCAGCAAGAGGCACCCACATAGGAGTTCAGTCAAGTCCAGGCTGGGCAGAAGGATAGGCAACTTGTGTTGCCACCTTACTCTGATCACAGCCCTGTAGCTTGAGGGCAGTGTGACCTGTGGGTACTTCTGTCTGTCTCTAGGCAAGACTCAGCATTGGTGGTTCCCAGAGTGTTGGCGCCACAACCTGATTCCTGCCCTCCCATTTCTGCTGGCACAGCCCTTCATAGGAGATCACATGTGGTCCTCCATAAGATAGGCCAGCCCAGGGGTGGGGCATTTAGCTTAGTGGTGCCGTGTCTGCCTCTAAAGCGCAAGGTCCTGAGTTCAATCCCTAGTGCTGGGGGAAAAAAAAAAAAAAAGACCAGCCCTGATCTCCACAGCTGTCACTAAGGCCCAGAGGCTTGATTCTGACATCTAGAAGAAGGGACCACCTGTTGTTCCCATCATTCATGAGCTCTTGGGTGGGGGGAAGGGGGTCATATGGCCTAGCCTGCATTTGATGTGACTCCAGCTGCTCCCCTGACTAGGGTCCTGCATGCTTTCCACTTGAGCTATCTACTTTCCATCCCTGCTCCCTCTCCTTTTCTTAGGCATGAGGCAGTGTTCCTCAAACTGATACCTTCCCCTCTTCCTGCCCACCCCCCCATCTGAATAGGGCACTTTCTACTCCGCACTCTAGGAGGGTTAGTGTATCCCATCTCCATCTCACTCCAAGGTCTTCTGCCTATGCCAGATCTGAGTTCCAAAGGACTGTCTCCATTGGTAAGAGGCTTAGGAATCAGGGACTACTCCCTCTGCCCAAACCCCCACCTGAGAGCATATGGTGTCCTGGGAGACTATCTCCTTGGCTTGGGACCCTTGGGCACCACTGATTCACTCTTTGAGGCAGGAAAGAGCTTTGGAAATAGGTCTGCTTAGATGTCTGAAACTCGGGACTTGAGCAAGGAGGATTTCTGGAGTCTGGCTAGGTTGTACTTTTGTGGTGGTAGCTTGTCATTTTGGGTTACTTTTATTTATTTATTTTTTTGGTACCAGGGATCGAACTCAGGACCTTGCACTTGCGAGGCAGGCACCAGAACCACTGAGCTAAATCCCCAGCCCTTTGGGTTACTTTTAGATCTAAGCAGCATTTATTTCGGAATGAGAGTCACATTCTGGGCTTTCTGGGCCAGACATCAGGAGGAGAGTTGTCCTGACATCAGGAGGAAAGGTCAGCCAGGCAAACCCTGAACTTCAAGTCCAACCTGGATTGAAGATGCAAGGCCCGACTTCCCTTTTAGGGACTGTGTGACCTTGGACAGAAGCTATTTCTACTCAGACCAATGCTTGACTAAGAAGGCTAAGAAAACTGGGTTGAGCATATGGGGTATGCCAGTGAGCTTGGCACAACCTTGCCTACACACTGGACATGGAAGAATGCTTGGAAGGCCAGCTGGCTGAGCAGTGCTTTACAGTTAGTGCCCAGGGGGAAGCCCCTTGGCTGAAGTTTGGGAGTGATGGCCTCTGTTAAAGGCCTGAGGGTCACTGGCCCTCTGAGCAGGAGAGAGCTATTTTCATGGGCCTGGGTACCATCTGTCCTGTAGTGGAATGACTGGGTCTCCAGGATTTGAAAGGACCATGTGGTTCAGGCTTGAGAGAGGTACTAAAAGGCTCACTGACCACAGGGAACTTGTAGCCTACTGAAAGTTATGGGGGCTTGCTTCTTAAGACTCACTTATTATGGTCCAAGGGCAGGACCTCTCCTTAAGCCTGGCCAGTCCATCTGGTTTCCTTAAACCAGGAGAGAAGCCAACTCAGATGGAGCCTCTGGGTATGTGTAGCCTGAGTCACATGTAATCTGCTTGCACTTGGGCTGAAGGGGAAGCTGGGTGCCATTCTGGGGGTGCAGGTGCAAATGGCTGTTTCTAGGCCACTTGTATGTATTCAGCATGTGCCAAAGGGTCTGGGGCCTTGGCTCCTCCAGTTGTTCAGCTGTGGACACAGGTTTGGTGTTCTGAGCTTGCTCTGGTAGGGCTGAGCTTTGCTGCCAGGTATATTGTCCTTCCCACATTATCATACTTGTCACCTGTGCACATGAGGAAATTTAGACCCCATGTGGAAGATGATGAGCCCAAAGTCATGCTGCTAGCAGCCTGTGGGGCTGGGGTCTGAGCCTGGCACCATGGCTCCAAGCCAACATCCATCCTAGGAGGCTCTGGGAGGTCCTGCCTTGTCCTGGCAGGTCCTGGATTGTGAGTCCAGCATCTTCCAATTTGGTGGTAGGGCAGCCTGACCTGGGCACTGCAGAGGCTGTTTCTGGAGTTCTTGGGGGCCTGGATCTAGCGTATTGAATGGGCATTGTGGTCACCACTTATAGAGTTATCTGTCTCCCAGCTTCTTACTGGGCAATGGGCACAAGTTGCGACAGTTGCAGTCTGGCCCAGCCACAGCTGAGGCTGAGTGTGGCCACCCCTTGGCCAATCCTGTATAAGTCTAGTCTTGCTGGGGAGGTTGAGGAAAGAAGGCTCCAGAGCATGGTGACTACCCTGCTGTGGGTAGGTGGGTTGGGCTGGATGTTAATCTGGAATTTACTTGAAGAACATCCCTTGAACAGTTTGTGAGGGCTGTGTATGGGTGTGGCTCATCCTTTGGCTGAGCCAGCTCACGCGTGGATGGCTTTCTAGGTGGGTAGCCAGTGTGGTACTGGGAAATAAGTGATGATATGTTTGGCAGCTTCAATACCCCTGAGGAAGGGGCCATGAACTCCTTCCTGAGTCTGGTTCAGCTACTCAGAGCCAGGAGGAGAGGCCCAGTGCCCAGGGGTTGGGGCACATATCCCCAGCTCTGCTTAGAAGCTCTAGAAGGGCCAGGATGCAGCCAGGAGGAATGTGATTGCCCTCTGCTCAGGCTAGTGGACTCTAGAGGTGACTTTGTGGAACTGGACCCAGAACCTGGACACAGCCCAGGTAACCTCTCACCAAGAAGAACCTAGAGCTGTCCTCATGGAGCATTGTAGGAATATCAGGTCCTGTGGGTGTCTCAGTGCTGGTGTCCTACTGGGCTTCCTCATTGGGCAGTGCCACATAGTGCTATGTGACTGGTCCTCACTTCTGAGGGGGCACCCAGAGGTTTCATCCCTGGAATACATGGGCATTTCCTATTTCCTATTTGTGCTGTATTCCCTGCCTTCTAGAAGTGGCAGCAGTCCTTAGTCCAAACAGCCCCTAGGCAGGTAGGAATTATGAGAGAGCCTGTGATCTAAGCCTTTGGACTGTGTGTCTCCTACATCTTTTTTTTTTTTTTTTTGAGACAAAGTCTTGCTATGTAGTTCAGGCTGACCTTGAACTGACTGTGTAGTCCAGACTGGGCTCAAACTTGCAACGATCCTCCTGCCTCAGCCTGCTGATTGCTGGGATTACAGGCATGCACCACCATGTCCAGCATGTTTCCCACATTTTAACCCATCCCTAGTCCCCAGTCCACTCTGTATTGACCTCTGGTGATACACAGGGCAGATGGATTTTTCCCACCCAGGACTAGCCTCACCTACCACTTCAGCCAACCCATGTATCAATACCTGTTATTGACTGGCCCCTGCCAGGCCCTGTTCATCCAGGCCCAGCCAAGGCAGGTCATTCTCTCATTTTAATTTTTAACCTTAGTACTTGAGATGTGAATGCAGATAATATGTGGTATTCATGCTGGATGAAAGATTCAGTGGAAGGTCTCTATTGCCATCAGTCCTTAGCATGTAGGTTCCAGCATTCAGAGCTGCAGACCTGGCCCCTAGGGACTGTGAGAGAGCCTGCTGAAATAATAAGATGGTAACTGGGGTTTACCAAGGACCACACATGTGCAGCTTTGGCCCCAACACACCCAGGCAGTGCCCTTAGGAGGGTTCCCCTCTCCTATGCGTGCTGCAGAGAGGCTGTGGCATGGTGGGGCTAGCATCTAGGCCTCCCTTTTGTACTCTGAGCCCCTTGAGGGCCAAGCCCACAGCCCACCCTGTGTCTCTTGATGGCACCAACTGGTGCTTAGATGATGTATGTTGACACTTAGGCTGGGAATGGTCCTGGTAGCCCACCATCCATGTGAAGAAGGACCCCCCCAGGAGAGACCTGAGTACTGCTGAACCACTTAGATACGACCAACTGAGCACCTTGTCCCACTTGCAGCCCCCTTCCCACCTGCCTTCATCATCGGCCAACTTAGCCTCCTGCCTGCCATTAGTTCTGTGCTATTAGCTCTGGAAACAGCTCTGGCAGGTAGCTACTCTCCCTCAGTGGTGGTGGCTGCCAGCTCTCCTTTGTGCTCACCAGCAGGACTGGGGTTCAAGGGCCAGGGTTGTGTCAGCCAGGGCCCTGTCCCCTTCGTGAGCAGGCTTTCCAAATGCTAAGGAGAGAGTGCCCGCCTCAGTGTAGGGAACCAGTGTCCCCTCCCCCATGGACAGCTGCTGGCTGAGTGCCCTACCATGCCAGGCCAAGAGCCAGGTGTTCTTGTAGAGCAGGAAAAAGCCAGTTTCCAGTCCCTGGTATAGTCACATTAATCACTACTGATTGGGCCTGTGCTGGGGAAGAGCTGAGACCCCAATGATAGGATGAGGCCCCACTCGCCACAAAGCCTAAACTGGCAGTATCCTGCCGTGTCCCCTTGAACGGCTCTCAGATTTTGCTGTACACCAGCACAACTTGGGGACTACCATGTGCTCCTCTCCTCAACACCTGGAGTCCCTTGGGACAGCTGGCCTGGCTGGAGCTAGTGCACACAGGCGGGCACGTGTGTGTGCATCCATCCTACAGGTCTGTGAGCTTCATTTCCCTTTCCTTCTTCGCAGTGTACTAATGGTCACTTGATGTGCGCTGGCTGTTTTATCCACCTACTAGCAGATGCCCGGCTGAAGGAGGAGCAGGCCACGTGCCCCAACTGTCGTTGTGAGATCAGTAAGAGCCTCTGCTGCCGGAACCTGGCCGTGGAGAAAGCCGTGAGCGAGCTGCCCTCAGAGTGTGGCTTTTGCCTACGCCAGTTTCCCCGCTCCCTACTGGAGAGGCACCAGAAAGAGGAATGCCAGGACAGGTGACTGCTGGGGCTGGGGGCATGATCACCCAGGTGGAGACCCTGATGCAGGCATAGCCCCATACAGGATGATTTGGCTGGTCCACCCTAACAGTCCTATAGGCCTCAAGAGTGGGGGAAGTGTGGGCTCCACAGAACAGGGCAGTCTGTACCTAGTTGCCATTGCCATGTTGACACTGGCCTGCAGAGTTGACTGTGGGTAGTCCTTGGAGGCCCATGACAGTGTAGTTAGCTTAGAAGCTCTGGGAGCTTGGTGTGAGGCTGCTCTGCAGTCCAGCCCCTGCAGGTGGACATGGCCACCCAGCTGGCAGGGCCCTAGCACCAAATCTCCTAGAATGAGGCTATGTGAAGTCCAGGACTGTGATCAGGCAGCCACTTACTGCCAAGCTAAAGAGAGACCACAGCAGTGGGTGTAGGAGCTTTCTTGGCCCTTCTTCCTCCCGCTTTCTTTTTCCCTCTCTGTCTTTCCTCTCTGTCTGCCTGTTCTCTCTCTTTCACACACATGCTTGCACATGTGCACTCTGAACCAACCGTGGTGGCTGGGCTCAGGGCTAAGTGTGTCCTACAAGGAGAGATTTGTGGCTGGCAGAAGCTGCTTCTGGAGGACAACTGGACACAGCCACCTGCTCTGGACACAGGTGTGACTGCTGTGCTCACTTCCTCCCAGGGTAACTCAATGCAAATACAAGCGCATCGGCTGTCCATGGCATGGCCCCTTCCATGAGCTGACAGTACATGAGGCTGCATGTGCCCATCCAACCAAGACAGGCAACGAGCTGATGGAGATATTAGATGAGATGGACCAGAGCCACCGCAAGGAAATGCAGCTCTACAACAGTATCTTTAGCCTGCTCAGCTTTGAGAAAATCGGCTATACAGGTGAGGCGCTCCACCACCTGCTGCATGCTGCACAGGTGGGCTGGAGGGGAGTGCTGGGCAGGCGCTGGGCAGTGGGCACAGGCCATGCCAGGTGGCCGGGCTCTGGAAAGACTCCAGGTGGACAGGAGGATACCTCAGGGAAGAAGACAGATTGGAAACTAAGCAGAGGGAGGGGCTAACAGGGCCCCAGTGTGCAGCTCAAGGCTCTCACAGCAGCCCTTCCCTCCTGACCTCCCTACCTGGCTCACAACCCCAGCAAAGTGTATGGGGCTCCACAACCTTGGTATGGTTGGAGTCTAACTGGAAGGTGGGTTGTGTCTTGGGGAAGCCTGGGAGCTCCAGCATGACCCTCCGAGCCCAGAGCAAGAAGAACACTGTCAAGTCAGATCCTGCCTGCAAATGGTCACTAAAGTGGCATGAAGCTGTTCAGTAACAGGGCTGAGGGCGCCCAGCTCAGACTGTAGAACTGGGAGTGAATGCCCACAGACGGGCAGACTGGACTGGGCCTAGCCTCACACTGGATGTCCTCGCTCCCGGGCCACTGCTGATGCCTTTGAACTTGTTGGGGAGCAGGATCCAGGCCAGAACCTGGTCCAGAGGACAGCAAGAAGCATCTACTGACACTCTGCCCACTCAGGGAGACTCCATCCCTCTGTTCAGGCATGCCAGGCAGCCAGGCCAGAGCACCGAAGGCAGATGTGGCAGCCAGTCATGCTGTGCTGCCTAGCCTGGGCCTGGCTAGATGGGCCCACCAGGCCCAGGAGCCACGGCCCTGGTTAGAGCAGCTTTGGCTGATCTGGTGGCCCCATGGGGTCTGGGTGGGCTGGGGCATGTGGTTCCATGTGGGATGGTGGGACACCCTATCCATGAAGGAAGAATTGGCTGTCTGCAAGCCTGCGCCTCCACAGAGGGACTTGCCAGCCACAGGCTGTGGGCTCACAAGAGGACTGCAAAGGCAGGTCTGCCTGCTGACTGATGGCCCCACCGATGGCCAGGCAGAGCCCGCATCACAGCCGAACACCCAAAGACCTGGGAGTCCCCTCGGGCAGAACCGGGTACCACTTGCCCACCACCAGCTTTTCTGGCAGCTCTGTATCAGAACCAATAAAGTGCAATTGTTCTCAGAACTGCATCCTGTCTGTGTGTCTGCTTACCCTGCCCCTTCGAGGACACAGGGCTGAGGGCGAGGAGGGTGGCCCTGTAGGTTGGCCACACCTGGAACATGGCCTTACCTCCCACAGCCTCTGGACTCTCCAGCTAATTGGTGTTAATTCTGTTTGTAGTTGTTCCCACAAAGCTTGTGCGCCTCCGTTTGCCATAATTATGTTTGACTTGCCCTGTGACAAGTAGAGCTTGCTGTGTCTTGGTAAGTTGCCTTCCTCCTGGGCTGAGCCTCTCCTCGGCCTGGTCGGGGAAGGCGCTGCCACCCAGCCCTACCCAACACTAACAGCTGGCTGTTTCTGGCCCTGTCTGTCTCCACAGAAGTCCAGTTCCGGCCATATCGCACAGATGACTTCATCACACGCCTGTACTATGAGACACCGAGGTTCACAGTGCTGAACCAGACATGGGTCCTGAAGGCTCGTGTGAATGACTCAGAGCGGAACCCCAACCTGTCGTGCAAGCGCACACTTTCCTTCCAGCTCCTCCTCAAGAGCAAAGTCACAGCACCTCTGGAATGCTCCTTCCTGCTGCTCAAGGGCCCATATGACGATGTGAGGATCAGTCCTGTTATCTACCACTTTGTCTTCACCAATGAAAGCAATGAAACAGACTATGTGCCCCTGCCCATCATCGACTCTGTGGAGTGCAACAAGCTGCTGGCCGCCAAGAACATCAACCTGCGGCTCTTCCTATTCCAGATACAGAAGTAGGATGGGCCCAAGACTCCTGAGGAGCAGAATGCTGTGGCCTGGCATCGCTCTCCTATTCACCCCTGGCTTGGCAGTGGCTTCACACAACTATCTGATCATTTTAGCAGAGGAGAACAGGCAAAATCAAACACTGGGAAAGTCTGCATGTGTGTGTGATGCAGTCCCGACCTCCAGCTCCCTCCTTTACTCCCATCACCCCCTCCCCAGGGCAGCTGGAGGCTGGGCTGACTTCAGAGGAGACCATGCCCTGGATTCAGGATCAGGGCTAGCATCGAGGAGGGTGAGAAGCCAGTGGCCCCTATCCAGTCCCATCCTCACAGCTTGGTCGCACTTCGTGCCCTGGTTCCTGGCTGGGCTCAGGGGCCCTCATTGACTTCAGACGGCGTATTTCATTGTGATTAAAAAGGCAGCCTTGTTTCCTTCTTGCTGTTTTGTTGGAGGGGAAGGCACACCTGTAAATGGACGCCGCGGGAGCTTTGGTTTGGCCTGGGAGTCAGAGCCCACCCTGTATGTGTTACTGCACCCGTGTGTGCCCCCCCCCAGGAGAAACTTGGAGACACTGCCTCCCCTACAGTCTGTCACAAGGTTTTTGTGACAGGCCTGGGCAGAGAGAGCCGGGAAGGGTTGAGGCTCCCCCAGCCACCCAACCACTCCCAGGGAGGCAGGACTCTGCCACTAAGGCTCAGCAAATGTTTTCGGAATGCAGGGTGAAATTCTTTCTCTTCCCAGGAAAAAAATTAAACTACAGGCTCTTCTATATGTGATACAATTTTAATGAGAGAGAATCCATTCACTCTTCTCAGCCTGGAGGGTACAGTATCCTAAGGATGTAAAGGAGCAGGCACAGGCTGTGCCACTTGGTAGGGCAAGGTCTGCTGTCAGAGACTGACTGCTGGCCACAGTGTGGTTTCCTGACTGACAGAAGTGGGCTTACCCCAGCCTTGACTCAAAGTCTGATATTCTGAGGGGTGGCTTTGACCAGGACCAGTCTCTGGGGCTCAGAGGGTGGGAAGCAGCCCTGCATGAAGGAGCTGGGCTCTGGTCTGTTCTTCCCTGGGACCTTCAGGGGTACTAGGAAGTGAACTTGATTAGGAGATGGGGCTCGTCTGATAGTTTTTTGTTGCTTTAATACCAAAGAGCTGGTTTCTTCTGCCCTCAAAAAGCCTACCACATGCCTCAGAGAAGCCACCTGGCCCCTGCAGGCTGCCTTGGCCCTCACTACTCTGCCCTGAGAGCCTGAGGGGCAGGTAGTCCTGGCTGAGTACAGAGCTTGGGCCACTGACACACATGCACACACACCCCCGCCCCTGCTCCTCCCAAGGTCAGGGAGCTGAGAAATAGTGAATAGGGACTATAGGATAGGGTGCAAGCTCCAGCCATATACCCAAGTGTGGCTGTCACAGGCCAGTGTGTCCCCCTGAATCAGTTCTGCCCTCATAGGCAAAAGCCGCTCAGAGCTATTTCTGAGAATCTTGTTTGGGTCCCTGTTCTCAGCTCAGGGCATGGGCCTGCTGGGAGTGCTCCTTGGGGAGCCTTCTCTTTTGTAAAGCTGATGGACCAGGGGGTTGGGAAGGCCCATGTTTGGCTGTTTCCTCTTTGCAAAGAAAGACCCACCCCAGGCCCCAGCAACCCATGGGGCCCATGGCTTCTCAAGTTCAGTCATGTCTCTCTGGCAGGCACACAGAGGACCTCAGGAGGGCAGGCAGAGGCCCTCTGGGGAGTCCATCAATTCCAGGGCATGGGTGGCTTGGCTTATCCACCTGTATTTTGGTGTGAATCGCTGACTGAGCAGAGGGCAGCCCTGTAAACTAGTACAGGTCAGGGTGAGAGGCTTGTTCCTCATAGGCACAGCCAATCTGGGACAAGGTGGAGGGTAACTGAGCTAGCAAGGGCTGCAGGGACTAGGAGGCCACGAAGGGGACAGAGGCCCAGCTGGCAGTCCTGTGGCCTCAGTGCCCAGATGCCAGCCCAGTATGTGGGGCAGGGGATAGAAGGAGCCTGCCTAAGGCATGGCTGGGGATGAAGCCCTCCTAGAAGTGTGTATCTGAGGGTTAGGTATCCCAGTGCCATTCCCATCATGAACCTGCCCTGTGACTGTCCCAGTAGCTGAGTCTTTATTTGTTTGTTTGTTTTTTGGTACCGGGGATGGAACTCTGGTCCTTGCACTTGCACAGCAGGTGGTGGAACCACTGAGCTAAATCCCCGGCCCAAACCTTTCCTTTTTTTTTTTGGTACCAGGGATTGAACTCAGGACCTTGCGCTTGTGAGGCAGGCAGCAGAACCACTGAGCTAAATCCCGCCCCAGTAGCTGAGTCTTGCAGCCTAGGGGAACCAGGTGACTGCGAAGACTCATGTGTTCCTTAGCCATCCTGGTGCCACAAACCTTGTGGCACTGTCACTGTGGGCCCTTTATTGCTGGGAGTGCCACATCTACTGGTTTGTCTCCAGAATCTTCTGTCATCTTGCTGTCCTGACCTGGTTTTTATCTGTTATCTCTGCGGATGGGGAGCCCAGCCTCAGCAGATGAAGGGGAAGCCTGGGGATCATAGGCTAAGCAGCGCCTTCCCCTCCTTCTCCCCAACAGGTCTTACCCCACTCCCTGTGAGCACCATATCCTTTAGTTTGCCCAAAGTGAGACATTTACAAAAATAAAAATAATTTTTTAAAAAGCAGAGCAAGAAGTGTTTTTATGGCTATTGGAAATGACTGTCATGTCACTTTTGTGGTCTGCGTTTTCTTTGGATATTTTCTGTATGTAACTGTAGTTTAAAAAAAAAAAAATTCCAAACCATGTTTTGTCTGCGTTTCCTTACCAGAAGACAGCTTTGTGGGTGGGCCTCCTGGGCTCTGTCAGCCTCCTGTGGCTACCTCCTCTTTCTCTAGGCCTCCAGACCTGTGTAGCACCTCCTAGCTTGGCCAGTAGGGAAACAGGCATAGAGAAGTCATGTAGTCTCTGGAGGAGAACTGGGCTCCTCGAAGCTACACTGTTCTGTGAACCCTGGATGAGGAGGGAAGGCCTCCTCATGGTCTTCCTAGCAACTCTTGGTGGCGGCGGGGGGCCCTCCTCTGTCTTCTGAGCCACCTTATTCCCAGCCCACTTGAGCCAGCCTCTGCTTGCATGCCTTGTTCCTCTTCTTTCAGAAATCTTTTTTTTTTTTTTTGGTACCAGGGATCGAACTTGGGTCCTTGCGCTTGTGCAGCAGGCAGCAAAACCACTGAGCTAAATCCCCAGCCCTGTTTCTCTTCTTTCAATGTGCCCCTCACCTCACCTGTCTTCCATGAAGCTGCCTTGGTTTCAGAGCCACACTTTGGATGGGGAAAGAACTGGTGGTACAGGCCTGCAAGTCTCATCCCCAATACTCCCAGGCCCAGCTGGGAGCCTGGCAGAGCACCTCACCCTCTGAAACAAAGGCTATGTGCATTTGATTTCCTTTTTCCCCCAGTGCAGCTCTTCAGGCTTGTCTCACATGTCCCTGCATTCTCACACCTGCCCAGCCCCAGCCCATACCAGGAGGCCAGCACTCTGCTACATCAGCTTGGCTCTGGAACCACCTGCCCTCCACATCTCTCTTCTCATTAGGCCTCACTGTCCATCCAGTCCCTGGGATTTTTGCCCCACTGGGTCTTTTTTTATCACAATAGAAAATAAACCCCTCCATCTTCCACTCCTCTGGTCCTTCATGGAACTTTTCACCCATCCTCTAGGTTTTTCAGTACACAGACAGTGCCACCAGGTGCCCAGTGTTAGGCTTGCCACATAACCAGGAGTGACAGCCCCAAGACATGTCACATGTTTGGCCTCAAGGCAAGAGGTGTGGGGTACCCCAAGGATTCCAGACATTTGTCAAGACCCTGGTGAGGTGAGAAATCTGGGTGAAAATCCTCCCAAACTAGACCCTAACTCCCTCTTTACCTCTCAACACAAAGCAGCTTTGCAGTTTTTTTGGTTTGGGGGGTGGGTTTTGGTACCAGGGATCAAACTTGGGGCCTTCCACTTGCGAGGCAGGCGCCGGAACCACTGAGCTAAATCCCCGGCCCTAGCTTTGCAGTTTTAATGTGCCTTCATTGAATCTTCTAGTAACACAGCCAGCACACACAAGGAAGAAATTGCTTATTTTGGAAAACATTCCTCCCACCTCCTAACATCCCTGGGATTTGAATCTCCAAATGTGATTGTCTGTGTCCACCGCAAGCTGGCAGTTCCCAGTAGCATCCACTCCTCAATTAAGTTCACATGCCCAAATTGCAAGTGTATTTTACTACAAGTCACTTTTTTTTTTTTTGGTACCAGGGATTGAACTCGGAACTTTGAGCCTACCAGGCAGGCGGCAGAACCACTGAGCTAAATCCCGGGCCCTGCAAGTCACTTTTTTGTTGTTTTGTTTTTGAAACTGGGTCTTGCTCTGTAATTCACCCTGGCCTTAAACTCGAGAATCTGCTTCCTCGGCCTCCAGAGTGTTGGGCTCACAGCCATGTGCCACCACACCTGGCTACAAATCATTTTTATTTCCTTTCAAAAGTAGTAAGTCTTGGGGCTGGGGATTTAGCTCAGTGGTTTCGCTGCCTGCTGTGCAAGCGCAAGGACCCAAGTTCCATCCCCGGTACCAAAAAAAACCAAAAAAACAAATCAAAAGTAGTAAGCCTCTTTAAAAAGTTGTAAGTACTGTAGGTGGTGAGTGGTTTAATCTGAAGAAGCGGGAACAGCGTTACAAAATGCCTGTAACAGGGCCAGGGATTTAGCTCAATGGCATCGCGCCTGCCTCGCAAAAGCAAAGTCCCGAGTTCGATCCCCGGTACCAAAAAAAAAAAAAAAAAAAAAAAAGGCACTCGCAGACAACTAGGTAGGCGCCTGAGCCAGCGGCTGCATAGGACTGCGACCGACAAGACCCCAGCTCACGAGGGGGCTGCAGCGGAGGCCATCTCCTTCGCGTTCAGCCCTAGCCCGCGACACAGGCCTAGGGTCCCCCAGTTTGCACCCTGAGGCAACCCCAGTGAGAAGGCGGGACCTCTGGCCCTGACGCCTTCCGGGCAGAACTGAGCGGGCGAAAGGATCTGGCCTTGGCCGACTCCTAGGTCAGCGGAGGCGTGGTCTGGGCGGGGCCTCGGCACTGCGCGGGAAGTGTGGATCCCGCAGCTGCGGCGCGATCATGATCCTAGAGCGTGAGCTTCGGCGTGAGTTCCTCCGGGTGCGATTGCGGGTGCCGTGGGTAGCAGTGGGGAGTGGACCTCGATTCAGCCCCCAACTCTCCTTCCTCCGGGCAGAGCTGAACAAGGCCAAGGCCAGAGCGAAAAGGAGCGGGCAGCCGAGGGAGGAGGCGGCCTTCTGCCACCAGCTTGGGGAACTGCTGGCCGGCCATGGTGAGCGCGCGCAGGCGCCGGGCGCGGTGGGGATCCAACCCTTCTGGGCCGCCCAGACGGCAAAGATGCCTAAAGATGCCGTGCCCCTATCCAGGCCGTTACGCGGAGGCCCTGGAGGAACACCGGGAGGAGTTACGGCTGCTGGAGGGCACACAGGACCCCTTGGGCTGCGCGGTGGCCCACCGCAAGATCGGAGAGAGACTGGCCGAGATGGAGGACTACTCGGCAGCCCTGCGAGTAAGGCACTGCGGCCTCTCCAGAGGTGGCAGGAGCCGTCAGGGGACTATTACTTAAGCTTTGTATGTGGGAGAGGCGAGGGGACCAGTTGTTGTTAGGGACCTTGAGTAACACACTAGTGACTCACCACAGACAGCCCTTGGTGCAGAGCAGAGGTGGCATATGTGACCAGCTCTGTGGGGCTTTGGGGCAACAGGGGGCTCTTCTGGGCAAGAGTAGTTTTCCCTGGGGTCAGGACTTGTGGTGGGGTCAATTCAGTGGCTTTTTCTTTCCACACCAGCACCAGCACTGCCATCTGGAGCTGGCTGGGTCCCTGTCCAACCACACTGAGATGCAGAGGGCCTGGGCCACCATTGGCCGCACCCACCTGGATATCTACGACCACTGCCAGTCAAGGGAGGCCTTGGTGCAGGCCCAGGCTGCTTTTGAGAAGAGCTTGGCTATCGTGGATGAGAAGCTGGAGGGTGGGTGCCCTTGCCCCAGCTTCTCTGCACCTTTGCCTCTCAGGGACCTTCCTTTCTAAGGTGCTTGGGAGAGGGGCTGCAGGCCTGTGTTGCTGTCTGCTCTAATCTGGTAGTCATCTGCTCTTTGTGCTCGTCACACTGTCTGCAGCAGGATCCCTGACTCTCCACGTGAGAGGTAGAAGGATAGGTGGGAGAGAAGCTGGATACCCCACCTGGGGAGGAAACTGCTGAATGTTGGTGGGGGGATCTTCCAGGGACACTGACCCAGCGAGAGCTGAGCGAGATGAGGACCCGACTCTACCTCAACCTGGGTCTTACCTTTGAGAGCCTACAACAGACGGCCCTGTGCAATGCCTATTTTAAGAAGAGCATCTTTCTTTCTGAGTGAGGCCCCAACCCCACCCCAGGAGGGAGGAGGGTAGCCCCCACCATCTTCCTGAGAGAGCAGGCTGCTTGAGCTCTTGATTTTCCATGAACAGAGAAGCCCCTCACATCTGCACCACAAGCTAGGAAGGAGCAGACTTTGGCCCCAAGACCATAGTACAGCAGGGCTGGGATCTGCATGGCATTAGTACCTGTAACTGGCTGGATGTCCCCTCCACCTAAGTAGCATTTTAAATGCTTTGGTGCTGTCTACTCTTCTAAAGCTAGAGGGTCTTGGGCACTCTCAGCACCTGTTATCTCCACCCCTCACAGGCATAACCACCTCTATGAGGACCTGTATCGTGCCCGCTACAATTTGGGCACCATCCACTGGCGTGCAGGGCAGCACTCTCAGGCCATGCGCTGCCTGGAGGGGGCCCGGGAGTGCGCTCGTGCCATGAAGAAGCGGTTCATGGAGAGCGAGTGCTGTGTGGTGGTCTCGCAGGTGCCACTCTCACCACTCTAGGTGTATCTCTGGGTGGGCATGGGCCTTGGGGAGTGTGCAGGCTCACCTTCCTTTTCTCCTCAGGTCCTCCAAGACCTCGGAGATTTTTTGGCTGCCAAACGAGCTCTGAAGAAGGCCTATAAGCTGGGTTCCCAGAAGCCTGCACAGAGGGCAGCAGTCTGCCAGAGCCTCAAGTATGGTGAGGCTGGACAGGAGCCTGAGGGCTGAAGAGCCTGAAAGGGTGGGGAGGGCTCTGCTCTCTCAGCAGAGGAGGCCCAAACACAGGTTCTTGGGGAGGCAGCAGCTTTAGCAGGAGCCTCTTCTAGCAAGAAGGGCCCCTTGCTTTTGTCTAAGCCCAACAAAGGGTACTGAAGTGTAAGGGAGACACTGGCCTTTCCTCATAAGGTAGAATTTTTATTGACAAGTTGGAGACAATAGTAATTCCACCATTCTACTGGGATGGGAGAGCAGGTGGCATGCCTGTGGCTCAGACACTAACCACAGTGACAGTCAAGTAGTAGTAAACATTGGCTGGCCTGTGCTGCAAGCCAGGCTCCATTCCAGGCTGTCGTGCCTGTTCCAATCCTTAAGGTGCTCCACACAGATTCTCCTACTGTCCTGGTTTTACCACTGGCAAAGTGGAGGCACAGAGAGGTTAGATGACCTGCCAGAGGGAACTGACTGGCTGTGGTGAAGCTGGGTCAGGCCCTGTGCCATGCTGCCCCTCACATAAGACTCTTTACCAGTGCTGGCAGTGGTCCAGTTGCAGCAACGGCTGGAGGAAGCTGAAGGCAGTGACCTTCAGGGTGCCATGGCCTTCTGTGAGCAGCTGGGAGACCTGTTCTCGAAAGCAGGCGACTTCCCCAAGGCAGCTGAGGCGTATCAGAGACAGGTGTGTGGCCCCTGGGTGGGTTGGGAAGAAAAGGCTGGTAAAGTGCTGAATGAGTGTGGACCTCATTACACTGGCTCCCCAGCTGCACTTTGCTGAGCGGCTGAACAGACCAGACTCTGAGCTGGCCATCATCCATGTGTCCCTGGCCACCACACTGGGAGACATGAAGGACTATCGCCAGGCTGTGCACCACTACGAAGAGGAACTGAGGCTGTGCAAAGGCAATTCCCTGGAGGTGAATCCCCCCACCACCACCCTCACCACCCTCCCAGCATGTTTGTCCCCATGTCTCTGCTTTGGGACCATTGCTGTCCAGCCACAAGGCATGGGTGGATGCCACTACTGGCCAGGCACTTCCTTCCAAGGAGAAAGGATAGGATCAAGGCACATGTTCCTGTTTCATGTGGGCAGCTGGGGAAGCCAGCTTATGGCTGTGGCCAGCTGGATGTGGTGGGCAGCAGCCCCCAACCTCATCCTTTTCCTCTGGTCTAGGAAGCTAAGACCTGGCTCAATATTGCACTATCCCGAGACGAGGCTGGTGATGCATATGAGTTGTTGGCACCGTGCTTCCAGACAGCTCTCAACTGTGCCCAGCAGGCACAGCGGCCCCAGCTGCAGGTACAAGAGCTGATCCCACCCACACTGGGTCCCCAACAAGCCCAGCATCCTTGGAGATTGCTCTCCCTCTTGTTCCACACTCACGTCTCTCCCTAGATGCCCTGTGCCCCCAGCCCTGAGCAGGACATCCCCTCTGCTCCTCAGAGGCAGGTCTTACAGCACCTCCACACTGTGCAGCTGAGGCTGCAGCCCCAAGATGCCCCTGGCACTGAAACCAAACTTGAGGAGCTAAGTGTGGGCAAAGAGGAGGAAGAGGAAGAAGAGGAAGAGGTGGAGGAAGAGGCCATTGAGGCCCTGGAGACCATCGAGCCGGAACTCTCAGAGAGCGGTAAGAGCTGAGCACTTCCTTGATTGCTGTGGTGGCTACCCCTAGCGTTGTTCCCCTTCTCTGAGCTAGGCCTTGTGCTGGTGTGCTGAGGACTGGTGCTATGGCCTCACAGAACCTGCTGAGGACTTTTGGTAGGGAAACCGCCACAGGTAGACCAGGCAACAAGTCCTTCTATGGAAGTGGATGCAGGAGGCTGGTGGCATGCAGGGAGCCTGGGGAATCCCAATGGTGAGGTTGAGTGGGCATCAGCCAGAGAAGGCTACATGAGATCAGAGCCTGGGAGATGGTCCCATTAGAGACATGTGTCTAATGTCCAGGGCAAATGAGACAAGAGTGTGTCACAGAGGGCCTTACTGCCCTATGTCAGAGCTAAGCACATTCAAGAGGCCAACTTAGCCAGCTGTGCAGATGGTGAATATGAGAGAGTGGCTGGAGCAGAGAGCTTAGATTGTGGGGATAACAGAAGAAGCAGATTGTAGGGGCTGAAAGCAGGGTGAGAGGTGTACAGATGCAGGATGGTTTCCTCCTGAGCAGCAGGTGGTAGGGAGTCTGTCTATAAGATTTGGGGTATGAGTTGATTTTTGGGGGGGAGGGGTATGAGTTTATGGAAAGCTCCTACCTTCAGATATGAACTAAGAGGCTTCCACAGTCTCAAGGCAAGTAGCCTAGAAGGCATAAGAAGCTGGGGCTATGCTTTGTAGAAAAGGTCAATTTGGGTGTCACTGGTTGTGTAGCTGGTGTGGGAAGAGGGGACTAAAGACTGGAACTTCAGGGAATGCCCTCAGCAGACAGGCACAGTATGAGAGGCCAGTGAGCTGGGTGTGGTGTCACATGCCCGTAATCTCAGCACTATGAGAGGCTGAGGTAGGAGGATCACATGCCCAGCTTGGGCAAAGTAGTGACTTAGCAATGCACTGTCTAGGGAGGAAAAAGCCAGCAAAGGAGAAGGATGTAGGGTGGTAAGGGTATAGAAAGGAGCCAGAGGCAGCCAGCGGGGAACAGAGGGCTTGGTGAAAGGGAATCTGGCAAAAATCGCTAGAAGCAGAGGAGGATGCTGGGAATCCAGGAGGATGCAGGGCACCTGGCTTAATGGGGTGACTTAGCCTCATAAGAATGCTTCCCAAGAGAGAGGGTGGCAAGTAGGGATGGAGACTGGTCATCCACCATGCTCCCTGGGTGCCGGAGTGAGGGGCCAGCACAGGGTGGACAGAGAGAGGCAGGCTTGGGTGCAGTAGAGAGGCCAGAGGTGTGTCTCCTGTGGGTGGAAGTGGGTTGTCAGGGAGAGCTACAGGGGACAGTCAGCTTTGGTCCCACCTGGCTGAGGAGCCCTGGAGCCCACTGTCCCCAGAGTGCTTTTCTCCCCAGCAGTTAGGGAGCCTGGGTGGGGTCGGGGCTTCTCTGTTGGCCTTCCACAGGCTCAAGGCTGGGCTGGCTCTGTTCCAGAGGATGATGGTGATGACCCATCCCGGGAGCCAGAGGAGGATGAGGAGCGTCAAGGCTGCCTGGGCCGGCGGAAGGTGAACAAGGTGAGGATGATGCTCCCTACCCTACCTTGAGGCCGGTAGCACCACCTGTCCCTTACACTTCTGCCTGGCCCTGGCCTGCTGTCTGTACAGTGGAACCGGCGCAATGACATGGGTGAGACCCTGCTGCACCGAGCTTGCATCGAAGGCCGTCTGCGTCGTGTCCAGGACCTTGTAAAGCAGGTGGGCTACCACCCCAAATACACCACCTGGCCCCAGCTCCATTCCAAAGGAACTGTGGGGGGCCGGGGATTTAGCTCAGTGGTTCTGCCGCCTGCCTCACAAACACAAGGTCCCAAGTTCAATCCCTGGTACCAAAAAAAAAAAAACCAAAGGAACTGTGGGCTTGGCCAGGTTCTCTGTCATCTTCACAATGGGACCTGAGGGGCCAAGCCCACCAGGGACAGGGCAGCTCAAGTATTAGAGGAGGCATGGTGGCTGCTCAGCCAGCCAGGGGGATAGAGTTAAGCTCTGTTCTCACTGCTGAGACCAGGACCGGAGGAGGAGAGGGCTGGGCCAAGGGGTAGACTGTGGGGCCTCAGCCTTCCTCAAGCCACAAAGTGTCTGGGACCAGGGCATGAAAGGCTAGGTCCTTCCTGTCATTGGTCACAGGGCCACCCTCTGAACCCTCGGGACTACTGTGGCTGGACACCTTTACATGAAGCCTGCAACTATGGCCATCTGGGTAAGTGGAGGATGGGCAGGACCTGGCACAGGGGGAGGTTGTGGGGAGTGAGGAGGGGTCTAAGCCAGTGCTAGAAGCTAGGTTCATGTCCTCTGCCCCACAGAGATTGTCCGCTTTCTCCTGGACCATGGGGCCTCAGTGGATGATCCTGGAGGCCAGGGGTGTGAGGGCATCACCCCTCTGCACGATGCTCTCAACTGTGGCCACTTTGAGGTAGCTGAGCTGCTCATTGATCAAGGAGCCTCTGTCACCCTCCAAACCAAGAAGGTGAGCCTGATGTGGGTGGAGGCAGGGCTGGCAGGTGGGGCTGTCTGTCCCCTGCTCAGCTGGGTGCCACACAGGGCCACAGCCCACTGGAGACACTGCAGCAGTGGGTGAAGCTGTACTACAAGGATCTGGACCTTGAGACACAACAGAAGGCAGCAGCCATGGAGAGGAGGCTCAAAGCAGCCTCCTCAGGCCCAGGCAAGTAGTGCCTCCTCTGTGCCTTGGGACATCACCACTGGGCCCTGAATTCTGACTCCGAGGGATCACTGTAGCACAGGTAGTGGGGTAGGAGGTGCTGGGTACTGTTTCATAACAGATTCTCTCTCCCACAGCCCCCCATAGCACTCCGGCCCCTCGGACTGTCCTAAGTAACCATCTGTTTGACCCTGAGACGTCTCCTCCCTTGAACCCCTGCCCTGAGCCCCTAGCCTCTGCAGCCCATGCTAGGATCTCACCAAAACGGACTGCATCAGCTGTGGCCAGGCCTCGAAGGAGCAGGCACAGGCTGGCTAGCAGCAGCAGCAGCTCAGAAGGTGAGGACAGTGTGAGTCCCCATGGACCGTCCCAGAAGAGGCTGAAGTGCTCTGCCTTGGCACAGCAGGATGAGGCCTGGACATCTGGTCCTGCCAGCACTAGGGAGGCAAGCACCAGCCGAGCAGCCTACCAGGCAGCCATCAGAGGTGTGGGCAGTGCTCAGAGCCGCTGCCGGGGACCGGGCCTACTTTGGGGCACAAGTGAAGGCCCTGTGCCCCAGGCAGCCCTCATTCCTGAGGAGGAATACCTGGCTGGAAACTGGTTAGAAATGGATGAACCCCTGATGCACAGCCGCCCGTCTCACATAGCCTGCCCTCAGGGCAGTGGGGACAGTGGCAGCAGTCCCTCAGAGTCAGACAAGGAGCATCCCATCAGACCCAGGGCCCAGGCCAAACAGACCCGCCTGACCTGTCTCAAGAGTTGGAGTACACTGGACAAAGTGGGAGGCATGGCTGCAGAGCCCCCTGGGGACCCCATCATGCCCAAGACCTCGGGTGCCAGCAGAGAGAGTCCTGACGGAGGCCAGTCCACGGTGGGTGCACAAGCCAGGGGTGGAGCTGGCGTCCCAGCATGGGGAGGCGGCGAGGGGAAGCCTCTGTCTTTTCTGACTGCCCCTCCCCCTGCCCCCACCTGCCAGAGTCTGGTTCAGGCCCCTCCTATCCGGGTTCGTGTTCGAGTTCAGGATCACCTTTTCCTCATCCCTGTCCCACACAGGTAAGGCGTCACTTGACTTCTCCTGGCCCTAGCCTACTATGCCCACCTTGCAGCTCTGTGCCAGGAAGACACAGTGCCCTTGTGTGTGCATGTCAGGATGGGAGACATGACAAGGACTCCCTCTGACCACACCACACCTCCTACTGTGCCCTATGGTGCCTGAGTGAGCATGTCCTGCACAAGCTCAGGCACAAGACCCTGGAATGTCCAGAGATCCAGGGAAAAGGGTGAGAAAGCAGCCAGATGAGGGTGGTGTAGGTGCTAAGCAGGTATGGCAAGGCCCCAGGGGATTTCCTCGACTCAGTATGCCACCTCTCCCCACAGCAGTGAAGCCCATTCCGTGGCCTGGTTGGCAGAACAGGCTGCCCAGCGTTACTACCAGACCTGTGGGCTGCTGCCGAGGCTCACTCTACAGAAGGAGGGGGCCCTGCTAGCCCCCCAGGACCCCATTCTTGATGTGCTGCAAAGCAATGATGAGGTGGGCATTCCCAGGCCACAGGAATGGGCTTCCCCTCTTTTTTTTTTTTTTTTTGGTACTGGGTATCAATCTCATGACCTTGCACTTGCAAGACAGGCAGCGGCACCACTGAGCTAAATCCCCGCCTTGGGCTCCCCCTCTTGCCGGAATGATCACCCACCATGCTCCCTAGGTGTTGGCTGAAGTAACTTCGTGGGACCTCCCCCCGGTGACTGACCGCTACCGCAGGGCCTGCCAGAGCCTGGGGCAAGGTGAGGGCCCAAGAGAGTGCTGGCTTTGGTTGGAAGCTTGGGCTGAAGGGCTAGTATGCAGGCTTCACCCACCTATGCTACTCCTGGGTCCACTGGGCATCCCCTCTCCCAGCCTGGCACCTGCCACACATGAGGGCAACTGGTGGGGCAGATAGGCTAGAGCTCGTGGGAGGTTGGGTGGGATGTTGTAAAGTAACCCACATTGTAGAAGTAAAGCCCAGGGAGGACTGTCTGGTGTGGGCTTTGAGCCAGCAGGAAGCTTGTCTTGGGATGAGGAGACCTTCTTTGTGCAGGGGGCTCCGAAGACACTGAACTCCAGGCCTGAGGGAGTGGGCTCACCCTACCTCCCAGGCTCCCTGGTTTCCCTATAGGGTTCAGAGGGCAGAGTGTTGGCTCTGGCCCCAGTGACCCACATCTCCCTCCTCAGGGGAGCACCTGCAAGTGCTGCAAGCCATGGAGCACCAGGGATCAGGCCCCTCCTTCAGCACCTGCTCCCTAGCCCTGCACCAGGCCCACCTCACACCTCTGCTGCGGGCCCTCAAGATGCACACTGGGCTCCGTGAGCTGCGCCTGGCGGGGAACCGGCTAGGAGATGGATGTGCCACTGAGCTGCTGGCTGCCCTGGGCACTATGCCCTGTCTCGTCCTCCTCGACCTCTCCTCCAACCACCTGGGCCAGGAAGGTCTGCGCCAGCTTGCTGGGGGCCCTACAGGCCAGGCCACTTTGCAGGTACAAGCAGCCTGGAGGCATCAGGTCTCTCATTTAGCCAGTCACTGGGTTGTCTGGGAGAGCTGGCTCATGCCCAACATTGCAGCAGGCCTGTGCAAGAGACCAGACCCTGTGAAAGGACTGGGAGCTCAGGACCTGCCCATGTCTTTCACAGAACTTGGAGGAGCTGGACTTAAGCATGAACCCTCTGGGTGATAGCTGTGGTCAGGCCCTGGCCTCTATCCTCCGGGCCTGCCCCTTCCTCAGTACCCTGCGCCTGCAGGCCTGTGGTTTCGGCCCCAACTTCTTCCTGAGCCACCAGGCAACCCTGGGTCCTGCCTTCCAAGGTGAGCTGACCAGGCAGGTCTATTCCTTGAGCCCAGGTGGTGAGGGGACTTGGGGTCCTTGAGCAGAAGGCCCTGGGACATCAGGCATGTCAGGCATGGCTTCTTCAGCTTCTGCAGACACACAGGTAGACCTGCCTGGGTTCTGAGGGGCATCTGATGTGTGCCCAGCCAGGGCTGTCCCAAGACTCACCCCGCCCCCTACCACACCACACCTGGTGCAGCGCCAGGCAGGCTGTCTCTGCCTTTAAATACTCCTGTGCCTATGGCATGATCTTTTTTTTTGCAGACCCAAGCAATTCCACTACGAGCCTACCAGGATGCTAAGACAGCACCCCCAGTGCCAATAGTTGGGAACTGGGGCCACTCAGGGGAGGTGCCTGGGGCTGGGCAGTTGTGGTGGCAATGTCCCCCTGGCCTCCAGACAGATGTCCTGGCCCAGAGCCCCATCTTCAGCAGGAGAAACAGAAAGCTTTTTCCTGGGTACCTCAGTTTCTCCACACAAAATTCAGGGATAAGTTTCTCCAAAGGGGTCACAAAGTTTCTGGCCCTGGAACTCTGGGTGTGGGGTCCAGGCTGGGTGGTGGCCACATAAGCTGACAGGTTTTGGCCCTGATGCAGATGCTGAGTGCCTAAAGACCCTGTCCCTGTCCTACAACCCACTTGGCACCTCTGCCCTGGCCAGGACCCTGCAGAGCCTGCCCACCGGTACCCTCCTGCGCCTAGAGCTGAGCTCAGTGGCAGCTGGCAAGAGTGACTTGGGCCTCATAGAGCCTTTAGTCAGATACCTAACCAAGGTACAAGGTGGGGAATGTGCTGCTCAGCCAGAATAAGGGGGTATTAGAGACCAGAGGCCAGTGGTACCAGACCTGAAGCCCTGGAGGTCTGGGAGGGTTTAGCTGGGAGAGGGTGGGTCTTGGGAAGACTAGCTTGGAACATCTGTACATATGCCTGCTGTGGGCTGTGACTTCCTGGTCACTAGGAAAGACACTTAGGACTATAGTGGCCTCCCCACACTAGGCAGGTCCCAAAGGACACACCAGCCAAGTATAACTTACACCTAGGTGGAGTGGTACTTCCTGTCTCCAAATTGAAAGGTTTCCTGGTGTGGGGGCCTGTATGTGGAGAAAGGGGAGGCAGGTGCCATTGGGCTTGGGCTGTGCTTATTTCCAGGAAGGCTGTGTTCTCACCCACCTGACCCTGTCTTCAAACTACCTGAGTGACAAGACTGTGGGAGAACTGAGCAGGTAATGCCCCTGCCCCACTGCCATCATCCTAAATGGACCTGATCTGAAGGCCTGGGACCTCCCCATGAGCTGGATCAGGTGGTGCTGGCTTCCTTTCTGCTTCTGTGGCTGCCCCTGATAGGCATGCTACCTTCCTTGAGTTTCTACCCACATTCCTAGGGCTCTTTAGAGCTTTTCTCTGGTGTGTCCTTTCTTGTTACTCTTTGTGCATCAACTCACCCTTGTGCCCCTAGATACTTGGCTGGTTCTTGGGCACTGTCAGGTGGTGCCCAAGCCTGGATGGGCATATCTAGAGCTGGCTATTGCAGTCCTGACCCTTGGGCAGTGCTGCTAACCTTTGAGGAGCTTTCACTTGTGCCAGGCCAGGCAAAGCCTGCTGGGTAGCCTTCCCTGGTGATGGAGTGAGGGCTGTCCTAGGAGCTAATTCCTGATTCCCCATGTTGTCTCAGGTGTCTCCCTCTCTGTCCTTCACTCATCTCTCTGGACTTGTCTGCCAACCCCAAGATCAGCCGTACCAGCCTGGAGGAACTCCTGTCTGCCCTCCAGGAGAGGTCCCAAGGCCTCAGCTTCCTTGGCCTGTCAGGTGAGGGATGGGTGTGGCCACCCCTGCTGTGTCCCAGCCTACCACACAACTTGCTTGTCTGAGGCTCAGGTTGCTCCTCCTAAGGGGATGTCACTGCTACCAGCCAGGTGGTGAGGCTCCCTGAGGCTGCCTGGTTAGAGGGTGGGTGGTGTGCAGCAAGACAGGAAAGGGCCTGAGGACTGGGGATGAAGCTCAGTGGTAGAGCACTCATCTAACATGCCTGAGGCTCTACGTTTGACCCCAACAAAGGAAGGAAGGGAAAGTAGGAGGGATAAAGGTAGGAAGGGAAGGGGCAAGAGTGAGAGGCAGGAGAGCCTGGGGATCTCTGCTTCTGGCCCATCCAGCCTGACCCTCAAGGTATACCATGGCAGGAAGGACCCTATTCCATAGGATTTCCTCATACTAGGTAGAAGGAAGAGGAGGCCCGGGGCCCAGGTGATGAAAACTACCACCAAAAGACCCTTCCACCTGGCAGAGACCTCAGATCCTATCTGTCCAAGCTGTGGCCTGATGTAGTTTCTTCCCAGGCTATACCAGGGCACCCCCACCTCAGTTATCTTGAGGACAACTCCAGGAGAGTTGCATCTGGTAAACTGAGGACCAGCAGCCTGCCAGGCCCAGCTGGGGTCTGAACGGAAAACCTGGGGACAAAGGCTGTGCAGAGGAGGCCCCAGTTCTTCCTATGCCTCATCCCCTGTGCACACACCTGGATCCCTGGCACTTGTACTTTTCTCACCCACCTCCCTGAGGTCCAGAGCCTAGTGGGAACTCTGATCTAAGGATCAAGCCCTGGCAATTCAGTGACCTCCTGAACCTCTCTGGGCCACAATATCCAGATTTGCAAGCACCCCTTGAAGTCCATTTGGTTGCAGACCAAGAGCAGGCAGTGTGGGGTAGATCTATGAGCACAGCACTGTCCACCTGACCCCAGCCTGTGGGGAGCTCCTTACTGTAAGTTAAACCTACCCTCTGCCCTCTGCCCTCTGCCCTCTGCCCTCTGCAGGCTGTGCAATCCAGGGCCCCCTGGGTCCAGGCCTGTGGGACAAGATCACCACACAACTGCAGGAGCTCCGGCTGTGCAGCAGACACCTGTGCCCTGAGGACCGTGACGCCCTGCGCCAGCTACTGCGGGGCCAGGGGGCATGCTTACTGGACCGGGGCCCCAAGCTCTTCTTCCAACGCCTCTAACCCCTACCCTGTCCTCCCCACCTCCGAAGCCTCAATAAACAAAGCTGCTGCTTTCTCCCTCGCGTCGCTGCCTGAGGGGTGGGTGAGCACTGTGAGATTTGACTCCGTTACCTAGCCCTTTCCCCACGAAGTCTACGAATACCCTAGGTCATACTAGCGAAACTTTTAGAGGTTTTTGTGTTTGTGTGTGTATGTGTGTTTGTTCCGGGAATTGAACTCAGGACCTTGCGCTTGCCAGGCAGGCTCTTCGCCGCTAAGTTACATCCCCCAGCCCCTTTTGGAGCTTGGTTTTTTTGTTTTGGTACTGGGAATCGAACTCGGGACCTTCCGATTGCAAGGCAGTTGGCAGAACCAATGAACTAAATCCCTGGCCCCTTTTAGAGCTTTTAATGACAACAAATCGCCCGCGATACGTTCACCATAGATTCTCCAGCACTACCCTCAACCGTAACCTCTCCGGTTTGGGTACAAAATCCTGCCCTAGTGCGGGCTTGGCCATGAACCGGAAGTGTCGCAAATACACAGGTGGGAGGGTCGAGTGCCGAACTGCTGATCAGCGCGCAGGCGGGTGGGAGAGTACTGAGTCACTGATCGGGAGTGCCCCGCCCCGTCGCCATCTCCGGGAGCAGCTGAGAGAGCTCCAGGTACTCGCCGCGGGTGGTGGGAGGGAAACCGGGACCAGGGCATCAGCGTCTTGCCTGCCCCTCGGCAGACGCTGTCGAGGGCTTATGTTCGCTTACTCTCGATCACTGTAGAGGAGTATGTGCCTCGGTAGTCAGCCATCCCTCCAACCCAGCCCCCTGCCTAGCCCACAGTCTTCTTTAAAGCTGTCTGGACCCCGCCTCCTGCCTACAGCCCACCCAGTCTCAGTTCACCAACGGTCGTGGGTGCCACGAGGCCGAAAACAAGGATGTCATTCTTAACTTCTTGTTTTAAATTTACCCCCAATTCAAAATTTTTTTTTTTTTGGTACCGGGGATCGAACTCTGGTCCTTGCGCTTGCGCAGCAGACGGCGAAACCTATTTCAAATCTTAGCGTGGATCTGTGGTTCCACGTCCAGAGCACGCTGGGACTGGTCCGGTTATTGGCCCCCTTACTAGGCAGGACCCTCCTGCGGGTCTCTGCTTTTGCAGTCAAAAAGCCTCAAGCCCTGTGTTCGCATATTTCTTAAGCCCAGGTCTACCAACAGCTACTATCTCCTTTTTCCTCTGCCTCAGAGCAGCCTCAGCCACAAGGCAAGACAGATCTGCCCAGCACCATCACTCTCCTCACCATTCGTTGTCCATGACTTGATTCCTCCTGATGGCCCCAGTGTCCTGTCTGTTGCTTGTGTGGAGGGTGGGCATGAGGCATTGAGCCCCAGGGACCCCTGCTCTTGTGGTGTCATGGCCTCGAAATACGGCTCACTGTGTCCCCCAGGTTTCCGTGCTGTGGCACCAGAGCCTGCAGGATGTTTCACGGGATCCCAGCCACTCCGGGTATGGGAGGTGAGTGTGGGTTGGCTGAAGGACCAAGCTTTATCTGCTTCAGGGGCTGAAGTGGGTGGTGTTGGAGGAAGTGGTCTGTATATCCTTACCCCCACTCCACATTCATATATCTTGGGGATGGGGTGCCAGGGTGGTTTATGATAGAACACTGAGAGATTGCCCTGCTGGGCAGAGGTGATGGCTTCAGGGTGGCCAGAAACTCAGGTATCCTGGGCATCCCTGTGTCACTGAGCTTAGTTGTATATGACAAGCCTTGTTGTACCATATTATGGTATGTCAGCAAGGTGGGGGTGATTAGCCAGGCCTGGCATGTGGCCCTCAGCCCTTCAGAGGCAGAGTCCTGCTCACTGAAGGGAGATGAGGTTGGAATCCCCATCATCCAGCTCCCTCTGAGTTCTTCAGGACACAGCAGTGGGGAGGCCTCAAGGAAGGAACTGAAATGGGATTAGAACCTTGTAGCTGGCCTGCTAGCTCTCTTCCTGCTTTGTTGCAGTCCCGGGGAACAAGCCAGAACTGTATGAGGTAAGTGGCAAGTACCCACCTGGTCAGTATTGGGCCACAGCAGACACCCACATGATCTCACCAGGCCCTACAGCTATCCAGTGATGCTGGTTGACATGCTGCTGTTCTCCCCAACAGGAAGTGAAGTTGTATAAGAACGCCCGGGAGCGGGAGAAGTGAGTCAGACATCCAGGCTGTCCAGCATACACACTCATGCCCACCTAGCCTCTCCAGAGCAGCCTCCCCGAAACTCACCACTACACTGCTGGTGGGATGGAAAGGCAGTATCTAAAGACCCTCTGCCAGGGATGAGGTGGGAGGCAGGCTGATAGTTCTGCCATATCTGTGCCCTTAGTCCCCATGCCCTTTGGCCTCCTGGGCTCCAGAGACCTGGCTTTCCCTGCCTGGGGGTGTCCTTCCCTCATGGCTGTGGCCTGATGGACAGGTTATCTCAGGTATGACAACATGGCAGAGCTGTTTGCAGTGGTGAAGACGATGCAGGCACTGGAGAAAGCATACATAAAGGACTGCGTCACCCCCAACGAGTGAGTGATCTATGGCCCTCAGGTGGCCAGGATGGGTACCCATCCTTCAAAGTCTGGTTTTGCCTTATATGGGGCACCTAAAATGGGGATGCCCATTGTGGGGGTGCTCTTAAGTTCTAGGGAGTGGCCTTAGCATCCTCTTAGCTTGAAAAGCCCTGCAGGGGTGGAAAAGTATCTGGTGCTGAAGGACAGGTGCTCAAATGGGTGTGGTCTGGGCCCTGTCCCCAGGCACAGACTGGTTCACCTTGCTGATGGAAAGACCTCTGAAGGTGAGTGGGAGCCTCATTGCCCGATCTGAGAGGTGTTCCCCAAGCCAGGTGGCTAGCATGGATACAGAGCCTTCTTTCAGTGAGGTGATGAGCCTGATAGGCTAGACCCCCAGGATCATGAACTTCTAGTGGATGGCCAACACTGTGGTCCAGAGGCCAGGCAGGAGCAGGTATCTGGGCCTCTGCTCAGTGCTGACCTCCAGGTCAATGAGCACCATGTGTGGTGAACATATTTTGGTCCTTTCTCTCTGTTCTTGTTTAGAGCTCTTGTACAAATCCAATGAGAGCCCTTGACCCCCAACGGCTTCCTGTCTGTAACCTGTCAATCAGTCATTAGAGCTCCCCTGTGTCTGAACTGGCAAAGCTGAGAGAGAGTAGGGTAGGGTAGCAGTGCTGGTCCCAGCTCAGGGCAGCTGCCGACGCTCTCCTAGGTACACTGCGGCCTGCTCTCGTCTCCTGGTCCAGTACAAAGCCGCCTTCCGGCAAGTTCAAGGCTCAGAAATCAGCTCCATTGATGAATTCTGCCGCAAGTTCCGAGTGAGTGAGCCAGTCCCTTGACCCAGCAGGAAGGGTGTGGTTGGGCACAGGTGTGGGGCCATTGTGGCAAGGCCCAGGGAGCCCCAACACCTATGTCAACTCGCTGCAGCTGGACTGCCCACTGGCCATGGAAAGGATTAAAGAGGACCGACCCATCACCATCAAGGATGACAAGGGCAACCTCAACCGCTGCATTGCAGATGTGGTCTCGGTGTGCCCACCCAGCCTCCATGGAGGGCCCTGTGGGAGTTAGGAGAGAGGCCTTCCTGCTGCAGTTGCTTGAGCATGGCGGGTGGGAAGGGCTTTCACTGTGGATGAGGGTGAGAAGCATTCAGAGAGCCCCCTCCCAGGCTCATCTGGCTGCCTACAAAGCCTGTGAGAGGGACATGCACAGGGTCTATACTTGGGTGCCCCCCACCCCGGTTCCCATTAGAGCCCCCTTCACAACCAGAATCCCAAACTCCCTAAGCCCCCCCCCCCCGCCCCGGCAGGGAGAGTCTGAGGCCCCCTCAAGGCTTTGGGAACAGGGTGTGAGGAAGAGGGAGGGACTTGGCCCTGGGCCTGTGAGCTGTGAGGGGCTCTCTGCAACCTGAGCGGGTCCAAGATGCTTCACATCCACCCCCACAGCTCTTCATCACAGTCATGGACAAGCTGCGCCTGGAGATTCGAGCCATGGATGAGGTGCAGGACCGGGGTAGGAGTGGGGTTTGGGAGGAGAGGAGAGGCAGGGGGTCTCAGCCCTATTCCTGTGTCTGTAGATCCAGCCTGACCTGAGGGAGCTGATGGAGACCATGCACCGCATGAGCCACCTGCCCCCAGACTTTGAGGGCCGCCAGACAGTCAGCCAATGGTGAGTGCCTCTCAGGGCTACAGAACTGCTGCTACAGCAATATGGCCTGCTGCCCTCACTCACGCACTGCCGTGTTCCTAGGCTGCAGACCCTGAGTGGCATGTCGGCCTCTGACGAGCTGGACGACTCCCAGGTACGCCAGATGCTCTTCGACCTGGAGTCAGCCTACAATGCTTTCAATCGCTTCCTGCACTCCTGAGCCCCCATGTGGCCCACAGGAGATGTGGAGGTAGCAGCTTAAGGGGATGGTTCCTGTTGTCTTGATGCGATGCCTACAGTTGCCCAGGACATCTTCGTGAGCCTTGATGTCCACAGCAGCCTGCCCTGTGCTGCCAGGACTCACCCCCAATAAAGAGGCTATCTTCCTGCCTGCTGTGGTCTGTCCAACTTCTTGACTTGGCAGGGCTTGCCTCCTGGGGCAGGCGCTGAGCACAGCCCCTGTGTCCAGCCCCTGTAGCCATTGTCCCCGAAACCAGCATGGTAGCATGGCCCTGTTGCTCATCCCACACACAGTCCATCTTTCAGGCCCAACAGCCTCCTCGGTGGGTATTATCTTGATTTCCACAGCATCAACTTGGGGAATAGACTTCCACTTGGGCCAGGTATGCCTAGAATCTGGCAACTAATGTGGCTACTTGCCACTACCCCTAATAGGCTGTCACATCTCACAGGCTGGAGGCCATCAGCTGTGTTGCCACCTGTCAGTGGCTAGGCCTTATTCTTTTTTGTTTTTGTCTTGGTACTGGGGATCGAACTCAGGACCTTGCACTTCCAAGGCACAAGGCAGAACCACTGAGCTGAATCCCCGGCTCTTTTTGAGAGAGGGTTTTGATATGTAGCCTAGGCTACCCTTGAACTCACTGTGTAGCCCAGGCTGGCCTGGAACTACCAGCAAAACTCTCAGTCTCATGGTGATCCTCCTGCCTTAGCTTCCTGAGTTCTGGGACTACAGGCTTGCACCACCACACCCAGTGAGGCCTTCTACAGTAGCAAGCCAGAGGCACATTGTTTCACATTGTGGCAGCTATGGCATACTTGTCCATAGGAGGCATGGTAGAATTTAATCCTAGCACTTGTTCTCAGTAGCTAGGTCAACAAATTGCTACATTCCTTTATTCATTCATGCATTCATTCACCCAAGGCCTTCACACTGAGCTACATCACCAGCCTTTTTTGACACAGGGTCTCACTAAATTGCCTAAACTGGGTTTAAATTTGCAGCTCTTCTGTCCCCGCCTTCCACAGTGCTGGGATTAGTGAGATAGGGTGGCACACACCTATAATCCCAGCACTCTGGAAGCTAAGGCAGGAGGATCACCATGAGTTCAAGGCCAGCCCTGATTACATAGTGAGTTCAAGGCCAGTTTGAACTACATAGCAGGACTCTGTCTCAGAAAACAGTGCTGGGATTACAGGTGTGTGCCACACGCGTAACAAACCTTTTTCTTTTGATGGGGGATGTTGAGATAGGGTGTCATTATCTAGTTCAGCCTGGCCTTGAGCTATGTAGCCCAGGTTGGCCTCAAGCTTGAGGGGATCCTCTTGCCTCAGCCTCCCCAGTGGTGGGATTACAGGTATGCCCCACCATACCCAGCAAGTCTGCTTGATACAACCCATTTAGAGCCACTGAAATAAGGCATGCATAGTGTGGGGGGGTACTGATGGGTACATTGCTTTTATTTATTTTTTTGAGGCAGGGTCTTGCCGTGTACTTCAGGCTGGCCTTGAATTTGCAGAGATCCCCCTGGGATTACAGGTGTGTGCCACACGCCCAGTTTCTTGCTTTTATTTTTAACTCTTGTGATAAACTATAAAGCTTGCCACTGTAACCATTCTGAGCACACAGCCCCATTCTCTAAGTACATTCCCTTTCACCTCACCATCCAGCTCCAGAACTTCCCTCTTCCCAGCTACAGCAGTTATCCTTTTGTGACTCTTATTTCACTTAGCATGTCCTCCAAGTTCATCTGCGTTGTACCAAGGGTCAGGAATCCTTCCCTTTTAAGGCTGAATAATATTCCCTTGTAAATATACACCACATTTTATACATGTGGGCTGCTCCAACTCTTGACTTGTAAATAATGCCAGTATGAACATGGGTTTATGTTCTATTTTTATAACTGGGACAAATATAGTGAACTTGCTGTTGGATAGGACAATCCAGGATCAGCCCAGAGTTGTAGGAGACAGGGTACTCAGGACAGCTGTGCCAGGAGGAAAACCAGCCCCAGGCTGGTGGTGTGGATGGCAGATATGGCAGAAGCTGGGAACAGCTGGGCTAGAAAAGAGGGTACTGGGGGAGATGAGAACGCATGAATCAGGAAGAGGACAGGCTGTTGGCCAGCACTGAAACCCGCTGGTGGAGGGCTGGCTGAGTACAGACCCTCCAAGACTCAAGCAGTTCTGCCTTTCAGCACAGAGATAGAGAAAGGCCTGATCTGCCAAGCCCAGGCCAAAACCATGTTTGAACAGTGGCTGGCCAGAAACTGGCTTGGCCCAGCCTCCAGCCAGCCCAGTGACTCTAGGGCAGTCCAGGAGGAAGGCCAGGTTTGGCCCATGGCAACTTCACGTGGAGGTGTCCTCTTTCTTGTCTCAGGTGGTATCTCCCTGTCCACTCCCCTAGCTGTCCTGTAAGGACAAGGTTGGATGCCATACTGCAGGTATCCCAGCCAGAAGGAGCAACATGTAATGTGTCTGAGGGTACAAGTGTGCACCCCTGTGGAGCAGGCAGAAGGACCTGACCCCAGGCTCAGGACATTCTCAGCCTAATGACTGCCCCACCCTGCCCTGCCCTTCCCAGCCCAGGACAGGAGGGGACAAAGTCCTCAGGCATTAGGCTCCCAGATCCCCACCCCAGCCACACTTAGTGGGCTCAGGGTCAGGGGTTGGCTGAACTCGGGGCAGCAGTGACACTCCCCCCACAAGAAGGCAAAGCTCCCAGGGGTCAAGCCCCTCCCCCAGATTGACACCTAGGTAGATAACGCCCAGGGGTCAAAGGCTGGAGACGAAACCAGCAGGGAGGATCGGGACTGGAAAGCATAGCCCTTCCCCTACCCTCATTGGGCCCAGAGCTCAGGTTACTCCCCCAACTTCCTCCAGACCCAGGAGGCCCACCAGGTAGGTGGTGGCTAGGACAAAGGTCCCACCTTCCCTTCCTGTTTGTCTCCTGGGGCTTTGGTCACTTCCTGGAGATTTTCCCTGGAGGGCTGGTGGGGGGAGTATGACTCAGCAAGCACCTGCTGTATTCCTTCCTACTGCTGCCCATCCCCGGCCCAAGACCACAACCTAGTACCTAGCAAGAGCCCTCATTCCAGGTCCAGCTCCAGCCACAGCACTCTGGGGTTGTATCTGCTGTCGGGGTGGGCGTGCTGGGATGGGATAGAGGGTGGGTGTGGGGGGCACTGAGGTGCAAACACCTGAGATAGGGCTCAGGTGTGAACTGGTAGCATCTAAAGTGCATCTCTGCCCCAGATTTGCAGCTTGGGGAAAGCTCTCAGAAAGGGTCAAGGCTGGGAATTGCCAGGGGCCCTTGGAGGAAGACGGGCGGGGGTGGGGGTGGCCCTGCATGCAGCTCTGGGCATGGAGGGCAAGGGAAGGGATGCCCAAGCTGCCCACCCAAGGGAAGGGACCCAGTTCTCACCCCCAGCAGGCAGTGGCCCAGATCCTTGCTGTCAGGGAGGATCTGCCACTGGAATGGTTAACCAGGGTACCTCCAGCAGCCAATCACAGAGGCCTGCAGGAAATACCTGGGAGAGGTCTTGGAGCCTGGGCCAGGCAGGTCGAAACCAGCCCTAGTCTGGCCACAGCAATCCACAGCTGATCTAGACAATCTCCACACAGCACCAAGTACTCTGCAGCTCCAGCATGGTGATCCTAGTGCGGCTCACACCGGGACTACTGCTGCCCATGCTGCTGGTGTCGGTGACAATGGCCCAGCCCACCCATCTGCTGAGCTTGCTTACCTCAGGCCAGGGCGTTCTGGATCTGGAGGCGCTGAGCAGCCTGTTAAATACACTGGCGGACCGTGTGCACTGCTTCAACGGGCCGTGTGGAAAGGTAACAGCCCCACCCGACGGGTCCCCCAGCCCCAGCCCCAGCCTCTTCCTGCCCGCTCCACCCCACAGCCGGCAGCAAAGGGACCAGGACAAACTCCAGGAGGCGGGCCAAAGCCAGTGGCTGAGCCTACCCACAAGCCAGAGCCTTCCCTCTCCATTGGGGTTGCATTCAGTCCTCCCCAACACCCAGCTTCTCTTCTTCCTCGGGTTCACAAATTGACAGTGACTTAAGGAAGAAACCATACCAAGACAGGAGACTAACTGATGGGGACCCTCTGTGTGCACCTCTAGTTGGGTTAGCTGAGCAAGCAAGGGGCAAGAGAAAGGGAAAGGTGTGAGGAGGTGATAGGACTCATCTGGCCTGCCTCTCTCCTCTCTGGTGGCTCAGCGTAGCTCCTGTCCACTTGCCTCTGACCATAGTGCCTGTCTGTGGAGGATGCCTTGGCTCTGGGCAAGCCAGACAAGCCAGACCTCACCCCAGCAACAGTCCTGCCGTCCAGATTCATCGTGCGCCTCAGTGCCGCCATGGCCCTCTACCTTAGCAACCCAGAGGGTACATGTGCCGACATCCAGGCTGGCCGATGGGCCTCCTGTGCTGACAACTTCCTGCACCTGCTTGAAAGTCCTGAGGCCATGACCCCAGGCCTGAACCAGTTGCTCCAGAGGATCGAGGCCCATGCTGTCAGGAAGCTCACTAGGGAGAAGGTAAGGGCCCAGACCAGCAACCCGGGGCAGTGGGGGAGGGCTCAAGGGTCATGGAAGAGACACATGGAGGGTGGGCTTGGGTGCACCAAGAGAACAGCCACCACACACAGCCTTTGGGACATCTGGGGACACACTTGGGAGGCTGGAGTGGGCCAAGGGATCACAGATGGGTGTTTACTAATGAGTAGGCAGGGACTGTAAAACTAGGGGCAGGGGAGAGAATGTACCAGTCTGGTAGGTGCAGAGCTTGGGGAGGTGGGGGTGGGCAGGAGGCCGGGGGTAGGTGGCTGTGTACTAGGGTCAGTGGTGATGGTGGAGCTGGAAGCCAGAAGTTCACACAGGGTGGGACTGAGGGCCAACTCCTCCCCAGACTTGTATAGAAGTCCCTCAGCTGCTGCAGGAGGTGGTAGGAGCAGGGGCTCCCAGCAGTCCTGGCCCAGTCCTAGCCGCCCTCCTGGACCATGTCAAGAGTGGGGCCTGCTTCCACGCCCTGCCGAGTCCTCAGTACTTTGTAGACTTCGTGTTCCGGCAGCACAGCAGTGAGGCTCCCAATATGACCCTGGCTGGTGAGATTCCACAGCCTCTAGAAGCTGGGGGGGCGGGGGCGGCAGGCTGGACCCCACAGACTGTACACTCATGCTCTCCTTCCTCCCAGAGCTGGAGGCTTTGATGCAGCACCTGGGGGTGGGCGGAGAGGCCCATGGTGACCACCATGACCATGATGACCGCAGTCAGCTGGGCAGAGAGGCCAATCACCAGGACCCTGTGCCCCTTGATGCCCTCAACAACAGCTCCAGTGTGTGGGACACGGTGAGCCACCCATGCAGTCCTGGAGGAAGATGGGGTCCCCTGAGTCTGCTCAGACAGCTGACCCCTGTCCTGCCCTCCCCCTAGGTATGCCTAAGTGCCAGGGATGTGATGGCTGTGTATGGACTGTCTGAGCAGGCTGGGGTGAGCCCTGAGGCCTGGGCTCAAATTAGCCCTGCCCTACTCCAGCAGCAGCTGAGTGGGGCCTGCAACCCCCAGCCCAAGTCCCCTACCCAAGACCAACTCAGCCAGGCAGAGAGTGAGTGCCCGCCTTCCACCATGTCTACTGGTCATGTTCCAGGGGGTGGGCCTTATGGGGGTGGGGCCCAGACAGGGGAGGAGGGAGCCGCCACTGAGGGTGGGGAGGTAGAAAGAGGGGAGGCAATGGGGTATGGAGGTGCAACCCATAATCCCAGACACTCAGGAGGCTGAGGCAAGAAGACTGCAAGTTTTAGCCCAGCCTGGGCAACTTGGTGAGTTATCGCAAAATAAAAAAAGGTCTGAGACAAAAAAATAATTTCAAAAACCACACACACACAAGGAAAAAAGGAGAGGGCTGAGAATATAGCTCAGTTGGTAGACAGTTTGCCTAGCATGATAGAGGTCCTCAGTTCAATTCCCAGTTACTGCAAAAGGAGGTGTGGGGAGAAAACAAGTGTAGGGGGAAGACAAGGGTTGGAGGGAAAACAGCAAGTTAGCCCAAGGAGAGGCCTGACCCCTGCTGACTGCAGCCCTGGACTGCTCCTGGTCACTCCTGGATCCAATTTGGGTGTCACTCTGGAAAGCAGGGGGCTCAGTGTGTAACCTCGCACCACAGGGTACCTGTACGGCTCTCTGGCCACCCTGCTCATCTGCCTCTGTGCAGTGTTCGGACTCCTGCTGCTGACCTGCACCAGCTGCAGCACAGTCACGCACTATGTCATGCAGACTTTCCTGAGCTTGGCTGTGGGCGCACTCACTGGCGATGCCCTGCTGCACCTGACACCCAAGGTCTGCCTTCAGTCTTCAGTGTCTGCCCTTGCCTCTCCCTTCCCCAGTCCACGTCCCAAGCCCAATCCTTCCTGCTCCCCAGGTGCTGGGACTGCACACACACGGCCATGGTGCAGAGGACCACGAGCACCAAGAGGGTGTGGGCGCACAGGTCACCTGGCGCCTGCTGGCCATACTTGGAGGCCTCTACCTCTTCTTCTTGTTTGAGAGCCTCTTCAGCCTCCTGCTGCCCAGGGACCAGGTCAGGCTCATGGGTACCCAGCAGGTGGGCAGGGTGGGAGCTTGGTAGACCCTGACCACCACGCCCACAGGACCCAGAAAAGGCCAGGCCCTGCACTCACAGCAGCCACAGCCACGGGGGCCACAGCCACAGCACATCCCTGCAGCTGGCACCCAGAGAGCTCTGGCAGCCCAAGCAGCCCCATGAGGGCTCCCGCACCGACCTGGTAAGTGGGCTGCCCTCACCCGGCCGGCCGATACCCTAACCGCCTAGCCCCACCACACCTGGCTCACCTATGCTCCTTCCAGGTAGCCGAAGAGAGCCCGGAGCTACTGCATCCGGAGCCCCGGAGGCTGAACCCAGGTGAGCTCCGAGGGGCCCCCAGGAGGGCTGCGAACCTGTAGTTTGTGGGGGGGGCGGGACCAAGCTCTGGCCTACCCACTCCCGCCGGTCCCGCAGACCTGAGGCTGCTGCCATACCTGATCACGCTGGGCGACGCCGTGCACAACTTTGCTGATGGGCTGGCCGTGGGCGCGGCCTTTGCATCCTCCTGGAAGACGGGGCTGGCCACCTCGCTGGCTGTGTTCTTCCACGAGCTGCCACACGAGCTGGGTGAGCGTGAGGGGTCGGGCCTGAGAGTTGTGTGGGGCTACCCGCCCGAGGGGCCGAGGGGCCTCGGCGGACGTGGTTAGCCCGGGTTTGGGGTGCCAGCTCCCGCCGTGGGCCGCTGGTAGACTGGGCCTTACGCGACCACGCCCCCAGGGGACTTCGCCGCTTTGCTGCACGCGGGTCTGTCGGTGCGGCGCGCTCTACTTCTGAACCTAGCTTCGGCGCTCACGGCCTTTGCCGGTCTCTACGTGGCACTCGGGGTCGGAATCGGCCAGGAGAGCGAGGCCTGGATCCTGGCGGTGGCCACTGGCCTCTTCCTCTACGTGGCGCTTTGTGACATGGTTCGTGAGGCAGCCGGGTGGGGCCTGGCCCGGGATGGGTGGCCAAGCAGGGACACGGAGCTGGCCGCCGACCTGCTGCCCACCACCTCCCCAGCTGCCGGCTATGCTGAACGTGCAGGACCAGCGCCCCTGGCTCCTCTTTCTGCTCCACAACGTGGGCCTGCTAGGCGGCTGGACTATCCTGCTGCTCCTGTCGCTGTACGAGGACAACATCGCCTTCTCATAGCCTTCTCCCAATCTGCAACCCTCGACTGCCTCCCAGCCCTGGGTCATCTCATTCTCTGAACTGCCCAGTGGCCGAAGTTCCCCTGCTCAACTTTCCACTCAATAAAGATGCTCTCAACCCTGCAACCTGTGTGCTTTCCTCTTCACCCTCCGAGGGCCCAGCGTGCAGGACACTGCTTCTTACAGACACACCTGTGGATAGCCTCACTTGGGGATCTCCAGGCAGTCAGCTGTGTTCTCTGTGACTATGACTCACCTGGAGAGCAAGGTCAGGAATTCTCCAGGGTACAGGGGCTGCAGGTGGGACCCTGTCCCCAGTCAAAACTAACATCAAGCTGCGCATGGTGGCGCATGCCTGTAATCGTGGCACCTGAAGGCTGAGGCAAGAGCATCGCCTTAAGTTTGAGGCCAGCCTGGACTGCATAGTGAGAACCTGTCTCCAAAAAACCCAAACCAAACAAAACATATCAGTGATAGTTTGCCTAGCATCCACAAGGACTTGAGTTCAATCCCTAGAACCACAAAAACAAAAAGACATATAAGAACATCATCAACCATCTTTACACTGTCATGGAAACAAGCCTAGAGATCATCAGATCAGAAAGTGGCAACCTGTGGCCATGGGGCTGCTCTACTGTTCTTGGCTGGAGTGTCCATGCTGGTCCATGAGCCTCCTTGCAGTAGTCACCTGGGGTTGCTCTAACCAGTCTACTGGAGGCTGGGTGCTTAAAACAATGGAAATGTGTAGGGAACAGGGAAAGGGTACGTTACTAGAACCTCTGCAGTGAGTCCTAGTCTCCTGTGAGCCACAGCAGCACAAGGCGAATTAAATTATTATATAGGAAAGGTAGAAAAAATTAGACTTGGAGAAGAAGCTGAGCTTTGGGCCTGATCGGTGCTGCTCTGGGCAGCAAAGACGAAAGCCCCAGAGCCTGCCACACCTTTTATTCAATACATCGGGATAAACAAAGTAATAAATGACTAGGGGCGGCAGAAATCCACAAACAATGAGGAGCTGAGTAGATGAAGATTTTGTTTCTGCCAGGATGTCTTCAGCTGGTGTAATCTTGTCCTGGAACATCACCAGATCATTGAGGTCTCAGTTGTGACCCAAGGCCAAAATGGAATTATGTCTTGAAATGCCATAGCTGGCCTGCAGGCAGGAGAACTAGCCGTAATCAAATGATTTTTCCCTAAAATTATGTAGCATTGCTCCCGTCAGAAGTGTATTTTCTCAGTTCTGGAGGCTAGATGTACAAAGTCAAGGTGTCAGTGGGGCCACACTCCCACTGAAAACTAGGATAGAATCTGTTTGTTGAGCCTTTCCTGGCTTCTGGTGGCCCAACTGTTCCTTGGCTTGTCACAGTGTAACTCCAGTCTCTGCCTCCATCTTCACATGACAGTCTCCTAATGTCTGCCTCTTTGCTGATAAGGACATCAGTTGTATTAGATTCCTGGCCCACTCTACTCCAGTATGACCTCATCTCTCTCCCCTACATTTTTTTTTTTAAAGAGAGAGAGAGAAGGTCTTGTTATGTAGCCCAGTCTGGCTTTGAACTACTGAACCTCCTGCCTCACTCTCCAACTGCTGTGATTACAGCATCACTATGCCTGGTGATGACTTCATCTTAATTAATTCTATTTTTAATGATTCTATTTCCAAATAAAGTGACATCCTGAGGTAGTTAGGGCTTCAATACATCTTTTTGGTGGATACAATTCAATCCATAACATCTATCATTGTCCAAAGTGGCTGCCAGAACTCTAGCTATTACATGCACTCTCCAGGTAGAAGAAAGCAAATAGGAGGAAAGAGTAAAAGGGGTAAGGGGCCCAGGGGCATCATATCCAGTCCGTCATTCCCTCATTATCACAGGCACAGGACCAAGACAGCCAGACGCTATTTCAAATTATGTTCCAAAGGTCCTCCTGTGCCTGTAGAGATCAGAGGAAAATGGGCAGGAAAGACCATGTCTGAGACATCCCTGCCCAGACACATGTTGCCAAGACTAGTTAAGAAACTATATGCTCCAGCTACCTAAAAAAGACTGATTTCCTTCCTTCCTTTCCTTTTTCTTACGAAGCAGGCCTTTGCTAAGTTGTTTAGGCTGGGCTTGAACTCAAAGTCCTCCTGCCTCAACTTCCTGAATGAGTAGTTGGGATTACAGGCATGGGCCACAAGGCCCAGTTAAAACACTTTTTTTTGGTGGTGGTATTGATTGAACCTAGGGCTTTCTCACTGAGCTACACCCTAAGCCCTTTTTAATTTTTTTTTTTTAAATTTTGAAACAGGTTCTTGGTAAGTCCCTGCATTTCCCAGACTGGACTTGAATTTGAGATCTTCCTGTCTCAGCCCCACAGAGTGCCAGGATTACACATATGCACCATCACACCCGGATGAGACACTAATTCTTTAAAATCCCATAGCCAAAGCCAGGTGTGGGGGCACATGCCTGTAATCCCAGCTCTCAGGAGGCTGAGGCAGGAGGATTGCCATGAGTTCAAGGCCAGCCTCAGGATACACAGTGAATTCAACCCCAGCCTGAACTATGTAGCAAGACCCTGTCTCAAAAAAAAAAAAAAAAAAAAAAAAGATCCTGTAGCCAATCTCCAAGAGATGTCTAGAATTTAGACTCCCTAAAAGCTTCCCACATTACTGAACAAGTAGAGGTAGACAGAAGCACCCAGGGAAGGTGCTGAAAAAAATGGGCTTCCAGCATTATGTCTGCCCCAGGGGATATCAGAAGCATGACCTGGATAGCAGTGTCCACTGGCCATGAGTCCAGGCTGCTAGGGCTAAGGAGGCTTCAGCTGGGCTGTGGAGGGTAAGGGCTTCTGAACAGTGGCACTGAGAGCCTTGAATCTGCCAAGGCTTGCACCGGCATCCCCATTACCCTTCCCCCCAGCCCATGATGATGGTCAGTTGCTCCTTTCCTTGGACTTTGGATCATAGTCCCTTGGATTGCCATCCTTTGCCAGTGTTTCCCAGCCCTCACCTTTGCTGACAGCCTCACCTTACCTTTCATGAAGTAGAGGCCACCTGCGGCTTTGCACCCTGCATCCCTTTTTCTGTCCACCTCATACAGATGGCCAGCAGCTCAGGGCACATTCTACCTGGTGCCCTTCCTTGGAATCTGCTCCTTCAGTCCAAGGGAGCTCACTTGGCTCACTCTCCTAAGGGTCCTCTCCCTCAGCTCATGCCAGGCTTCCCTAAGGTTTCTTTGAGCACTGCCTTGTTTATTAAAAACAGACATCCTCACCTGTAGTCCCAGTACTCTGGAGGCAGAGGCAAGAGGATGACTTGAGTGCAGAAATTCAGGGCGAACTTGGGCAACATAGGGAGATCCATCACAAAAAAATTAAACACATCACTATGCACTAAACTAAAATTGAAACGGATTAAGGATCTAAATATTAAAATAGAGGGCCGGGCATTTAGCTCAGTGGTTCTGGCACCTGCCTCACAAGCTCAAGGTCCCGAGTTTGATTCCTGGTACCAAAAAACAAAACTAAACTAAACTAGAAACACTGAATCGCCTGGAACAGAGGTTAGGTAGAACTCTTGAAGACATTGGTGTAGGAAAAGATTTTATGAACAAAACCTCAGTTGCCCGTGAACTATCACAAACTATCAACAAGTGGGATCTCGTCTTATTAAAAAGCTTGTGCACAGCAAGAGAAACCACCAACAGTGTGAAGAGACAACCCACAATGTGGGAAAAAATCTTCACCTGTTGTTCCTCAGACAAAGGTCTACTATCTCAAATCTATAAAGAACTTTAAAAAAAAAATCAGACCCCCCAAATTTAAAGACCCAATCTGAAAATGGGCATCTAAAATGAACAAACATTTCACAGTCAAAGAAGTAGAAATAGCAAATAAACATATGAAAATGTGTTCAACATCACTGGTCATTCGAGAGATGCAAATGAAAACAATGTTGAGATTCTACCTCACCCCAGAAAGAATGGCTGCTATCATGAAATCAACTAATATCAAATGCTGGCAGGGCTGTGGGGAAAGAGGAGCCCTGCTCCACTGCTGGTGGGAGTGTAGACTGGTGCAACCACTGTGGAAATCAGTATGGAGATAATCTCAAAGAACTAGCCCTGGAAGTCCCATTTGACCCAGCTATTCTGGGTATCCTCCCCAAAGAATTAAAAGAATCATACCACAGTGATATATGTGTACCCATGTTCACAGCAGCACAATTTATAATAGCTAAAACTTGGAAGCAGCCCAAATCCCCATCAACTGGAGACTGGATAAAAAAAATGTGGTTTTAAAAAATAAAATGGAGTACTACTCAGCCATAAAAAATGAGAAATTAGAGACATTTATAGCTAAATGGATGCACATTGAGGTGATACTCTTAAGTGAAATAAACAGGACACATGTGTTTCTCTGGTGTGAGAAACTGAAAGTATAAATAAGGACTAAATGGTATAATAGATAATGTGAAATAGGAAGAAAAGGGGCAAAGGGGAAGGGGAAGTGGGAGGGTGAGGGGAAAGGAAAGAAAGGAAGAGAATTAATAAGAGAAAATGAAAAAATGGAAACAGTCTTTGTAAATAGGGAGGGATGGAGGGGTTGAAGGGAGGGCAGGGGAAGGGGGAAAAATAAGAGCCAAGAGAGATTATGTAAAGGTGCAAATTTCCAATGATGAATGTCATTATATTGTATACCTAAATTGTACCACTAAAATAACATTTTAAAAAAAGATTACTACAGTTTGAGAAGTAGCTAGAGTATTGCAGTGGAATTAGGATAAAATTGGAGGGTCACAAGACCAGGGCTTTTTGGGTTTTGGTTTTTGGTTTTTTTGGTGCTGGGGATCGAACTCGGGTCCTTGAGCTTGCACAGCAGGCGGCAAAATCACTAAGCTAAATCCCCGGCCCAAGACCAGGGTTTAAACACCAGCTCTGCCATCTCCTAGCTTTGCCCCTGGAACTCCTTAGTCTCAGTTCTCATATTTGCTAAACAGAGTTAACAGTATCACTCTCCCAATGAGATAACAAAGACTTCCAGAACTAAAGAAGGGCTTCAGCAAAATTTAGTTAAATCTCCATGGAGTGCAAATGTTAGCAACCAAGTAGTCATTCAAACTTGTACTTAAAAAACTAAGC